TAGATGTGTCCGGTCCATCCAATCCCCTCTACATCCATACCGGCATTGCGTTTATTGATGGTGTCGCCGAGATGGAAGCTCCCGATCAAGTGACCAGCGGCGATGGAGGCAGCTGGATCAAAGAAGAATCCTGAAAAACGGATTGGGACGAAAGCATGCCTGAAGCCTGCAAAATTACTTGAAACAAATCAGAAAGAATTCCGGACTTCCGTTGTGGATCAGTGTTTCTGTAGAAGACTTTGGTGGGAACCTGGTTTCTATACTTTCGTATAGAAGAGCAAGGGGTTGAAGATGGAAGGAAAATATTGTTTGATCGGTAAAGCATATTGATGTGCACTGAAAACGGTTTATGGCATGGGTTTGCTTGCAGTTTGCTAACCTAATGGGCTCTTTTGCTGTCTTAATTAAGCCCATGTAAGTTTTATGGTCCGAGTTGTACGTTTGGAGAGCCCACAACTAAAAGAATAGGCTCACTTCAATTCCGCCCAGCCAAACTCTTGTTCTCATTTAATCCATCAAAGCCCAATAAAACAAATGCTTGGCCCAAATCCTAGTAACACTAACGCCAAGAGCAGAGTTCGTGAGCAGAATCTGCAGTGGAGAGCCAGCCAAAGTTCCGGCCGTCGACAGATTCCCTGCTAGGCTTAGCCGGAAACAGGGTAGCAACCGGAAATAGTGTGCAAGGGAGAAGGTTTCGAACGCAGCGTTTTCCTTTGTGATACATAGAAACCAAGTCGTGAGCAAGGTTGTCAACTTGGTTTAGCCCGTTGGGCTGATCGAGCTAGTCGGTCAAAGGTTAATGGATCACCATGTTTAGCGAGGATATATAAAAACAGTCACTATGTACTGTTCTAAATTCCAATATAGTAAAAATTCAAAACCAGTTAAATCCAACACAGGGACGGAGCCGCAAAAATGAAAATTATAACAGTTTGAAATAATACTTAGAAAAATTATATATAATGTTGAAAATAAATATATGCTCTTTGACACTAAGGTTGCGTCCAAATTAGAAAAACCTTCATGGCAAGCCTTGTTGAATTTAAATAATTTTACCATGTATCATCTTGTTACCACTTTCACAATTAAATTGTTTTAGTTTAATAGCTAGCACAAGACAGTACGTAAATTGAATTGGGAATAGCAATGGGCAGGTTGTGGCGGATATATCGATATCCATACTCATCCCATCATAGGTCGGGTAATTTATCATAAGATGCGAGTGGGGCAGGTCAACCTTTATGAGTATGTAATCTAAAAGAAAAATCATAGAAATATTATTTTTTTCATTAAAAAAATCAAGAAACAACTTTACAATGATAAATTTAGCTAAATTATTCGAGAAATTGATGTTCTCGCCTATTGACAACTTTATCATATCTAAAATATGAGATAATAAAGGTAAAATCCTAAGTAATTTGAGTAAGATTACATATAATTTAGGCAAAAATGGGTAAAAAATGAGGCGGATCGGGACATGTCAGACCGAGGAGAATACCCAAACCAAATAGGTTGGGTAAAACGGATAAGGTCGAAATCGACATCCCTAAATTAAATGGTTGTAGTATCCCATTGAAAATATTTGAACTCAATAATAACAGATGTTGTAGTGTTCCAAATCAGGTGATGTGTTCCAAATCAGGTGAAAAGCTTATGTAATTGAATTTGAATTATTATACCATTTATCATCTTAATTGACACGATCCGATCCTTTTTGAAAACCAAACCATAACTCAAACCACAAATCGGTTACTCCGGAGCAACCCAAAACATGTTTAAAAATCAAAACAAAAAATCAACAACAACAATGTTTAAGATTCTCAAGTGAAATGCCCTAAACATTTGGGCGACCTCAATCCAGAGCAACAAAACATAAAACACAATCCTTGAGTTCCCCAGTATATTCATTAAGACATGAAACTAAAGACATATATAATGGGGGGTCCCATCTCGTTACCCAGATCCAGTTGACATCTTTAGGTTTGTCGCGGCTGTTCTCCTCGGGTAACCTCCTCTTGATGGATGCGTCCTCTTCCCCTCTCTGCACCTGATGAGTGAGAAGGGATCAGTCTCGTCGTTACTTCCTAAGGGTCTTCGCCCTAAGAAACTCTTTACTAAACACATTATTCGGCTTCTTGACTTAGACAAAAGTCATTCTCGCTTTCATCCTTTATACTTTGTTATCAAACCAGTCTATAAGATATCTGTACTCCTATCTTATCCTTAGAGTTTCCTTACTTATATTCTTAACCCATAGACACCAACACTAGGGACCGACGCGTTACGTCTCGTCGTCTGGTGTACCTACCCTAGTATGCCAACCGCGTTACGTCTCGTCGTTCGGTTGCATACCCAAACTCGGCAATGGCACTGCGTTACGTCCCGTCGTCCAGTCCATGCCCGTCAACTATTGCGTTACGTCTCGTCGTCCAGTAGTGACCCAACCGCCCGGGGGTTCATCTTACCATTAATCAACTATCACAATCATACATCCATACATTCATACATAGCACAACGTGTGCCTCCACCCTTACAGGGAGTGGGATCCTCACACACATATCGCGCATACTAAAAAATTAACTAAATAATAACTTGAACGAAAAACATAAAATAAAAGACCTGCGATAGAGATTTTTCCCTCTTTACACTCACCTCGAAAAGATGACTCCTCGATTCCTTCCTCGAAGAAACCCCTCCTTAGCCGGATTATCTTGGGGGAAACCTATTAATAAGAATCCATTTTCTTAGACGACCTTTCTCGATTTAAAACCCCTTTTGAATCACTAGAACGCCCTCTCCACAAAATCCAGACCTTGAGCCTCGCTCCAAAGGGCCCTTAACCCCCTTTAAAATTTTTCTAGAAATAATCCCCTCAAAATCGACCATTTTTATTAATTATTTTTATATTGGACGAATTTTTCACCTAACTTGAACCTTCTTAAAATATCCGTTAATACTTGTCCCATGTCAATCATGAGCACCTATATCCTGGAAAATTATCAAACCCTTAAAAACCCCTTGCAGAAATTTTTATTTAATTAAAACGATTATTCAAACAATTGCTAAAAATAGAAATATATCTTCAACAATCCCCAAATTATATTACAGCTATCTCCTAGACCTCTCTCAATTTATTAAATTATTAAACCCAGGAAAAAACACCCAAAAAGACTCGAAACAATTAAAACATCCAAAAATACGTTTCTGGAAATTCCCAACAGCTTTAGTGACCACCCAAAACCTGTCACTAAAAGCCTGTAACGCATGTTGCTAAAAACCCAGAATTGCACCATCATGAAAATTCACCAAATCGATCGATCTAACTCAAAGGGATCGAGTTCCCTTACCTCTAGAACGTGCATAGGGCTCGATTGGATGGCCCGGGACGTTGATCTCCTCGTTGGTGGATGATCGAACCCTCAAACGTCACCGCTAATAAAATACGAGTTTCGGATTAGACTATCAATAAATCGAGTTTAAAAATTGCGAAGTGGTTCATGATCCTTACCTATAAACACATAAGGGATGAGATCGGGAATGGGATCGAGATCGAGATCGGGGACCAGCGCTCCCCTTCTGCTGCTTCTTCTGGGTCGTGCTGGGGAGTTAACGATGGCGGCGGGGTGGGATTTGCTGCTGGCTGCTGCTGGGCACAATAATGGGAGGTGGGGGTTTATTATGGTGGGGAGGGAGAAATTAAGTGAGGTCGCTCGGCCTCTTATTGCTGGCGGCCTATTTTTTTGTTTTTTTTTTTTATATTAATATTATAATATAATAATAGTTATTATTATTATTATTCTTAATCCGCGGTTGTAACTCTTAATACGTAACTGTTAAACTAATCGCTCATTTAAATATGGTCGAACCTAAATCTAAAATACCGGGGTGTTATATTTCCTCCACCCTTACAAAAATTCCGACCTCGAAATTTGGAATTGGAAAGATAGTTACTTGGTCTTAAACTTTTGGTGTTTGACTAAAACTTCTCAAGCTAGGATATAACATTTCCCTCCCCCTTAATAAAATTTCGACCTCGAAATTTTGGTCCGAACTAGTTTAATAGGTTTGGTACTGAGTACTAAAACTAAAAGTGCGTCTTTCAAAGAAAACAACCAACTAGCGGTCTATGCTTAAAGAAAATACTCCTTCTCCACAGTCTCCCCATTTCTTCACATGATCACATCAATGTGCTTGCTCGTCCCCTCCATCGTCACTACGATCTCCCTCTAACCCTCGGTTATCCTCCTGCTGGAGGCCCGTGGTCTCTGTCACGATCGGTGCGGTCGAAGCGCCCAGTGCGTCCTCCCTGGCTCTGGAAAGAGGGGTTTGGCTGGCCGCCAAACCGTGGTCCTGCGTGAGTCCTCGCTCCACCACCCCGGACAGACTGCTCGGACTGAGCCATCCCTTGTCCGCCTCTCCAGGGGCATTCTCTAGCGAAACCCCCAGGCTTGTTACAGTTATAGCAGACCCTGGGGGGCTGCCTACACTCCCATGAGTGATCCCCGCCCACACTGTTTGTAGAGACCTCTGTCGCTGAAGGTTTGACCAGGCCGGACCGAGCAGGTCTTACTCTGAGTACCCCCAAAGCTAACGGTACCGCTCGGCCTCCTTCTGTACTGAGTGGGCTGGCTAGACCACTCTGGCATGCTACTTGCCTTTCTCTTGCTTCCCTCTCGCTGTATCCCTTCCTCACGCACAGCTGTTTCAACCCTCTCTATCCGAAGAGCCGCCTGATAAATCTCCTCTCGACCAGTGGCGGATCCAGGGGTGGCCACCTCGGGCCCCGGCCTAGCCCTTCTCTGGATCCGTAGTTAGTATAGTCCTTATGAATTTTTTGATTTTAGACATTCGGTTTAGTGTGATTTTATAATAAAATTGGGTATAACTAGAAAAATGATTCAGATGACCATATTCAAATTACTACTCTAAATTTAGCCTTTAAATTTTAGCCCCAAAGATTATGCATATAAAAAAAATGAAACCTAAAATTCTAAAAGTTTAAAACGTAAAAGACTAAAACAAATATGAGGTTTGTTCCCTTGAAAACTTACTAGAGAAGTTGGTGGATGTAGGGATTGACACACAATGCCAATTGATTAGTCGATTGATTTGTCTAGTGTTAATGCTGCTCGTTTCAACAGCTACTACGAAGAGAACCTTTTCAACAATGAAATAAGTGAGAACTGATTTGCTCAACAAAATGAGCGATTAATTTCTTGCCGATTGCTCAAGTATTTTATTTGAAACAGTGTATACTATTGGTATGGATGTAGGCTCCATTATTGATGCGTCACTAAATTAAAATACCATCGTGTACAATTTACATTGGAAAAAAACTATAGTCATTATATTTTTTTACTATTCAATTTTCTAATGAAACTCGGCCCAGTGCTCTTCTGTGTTCTGGATCCGCCGCTGCTCTCGACTGTTCCACGCCATCATGCTCAACTGCTTCTTAAGGGCAGGCTTCAGACTCTCCAAATAGTGGGCACGTTCAGATGCCGCATCCCGAAACTGGGGTCCCCCGTAGGGCAGCAGCTTCTCGAACCTGGAGGTGTACTCTGCAACACCCTCCTGGCCTGAAATCTGCCTTCAACTCCTTCACTATCGATAGATTTCAAGTTATAACTTTCAACCATCAACGTATTTACCAAGTTTCATCAGCCATTTTATAATTTTACGAGACACACCAGTATTTCTCTTATGCCGAGATAGAATATCACTTAAATTGATCCCACTCATAAATGAATATCCATCTCATCAATTTGTAAACTCTTATACTCCAAAAAAAAAAAAAAAAAAAACGAGATGAGTGCTAGAATGACTGTATTGTCTTTCTAGTTCAAGAAATTGATAGCACAGAAGGTGAGATCCCGTAGAATCTTTCTATTTTTCGGTTTGAGTAAGTCCCATGAATTATTACAGTCTGTGGCTAGTGCAATGCCGTTTGTTTGTAATGTTGTATTTATTTACGTATGGATGTATATTATATGTATAGACCCTACAAATATAGTGTACATATATGCACAATTCATTTGGTGTTAGTGGTTTTCATCTTTTCTCACATGTTGTGTATACTACATACAAAATGATCATATATATACCACTTGCAAAATAAGTAAATACTTAATTGCATATCAAGCAAAAACTTAATGTAACCATTGCAGCATATATAAAGAAAATATTTAGCCATTGTATCATAAGGAAATCAATTGAATTACGAAAGACATTAGTTTCCTTGGCCATAACTTTTTAATCTTTCTTTCACAGAGCCATTGCCCCATTTTCATGACCTAGTTTCTTCGCTGCCGAAACTCCAATTCCAACCCAATCATCACTTTGACTCCGTCCAGCGAGACCAAAATGGTCCAAATCCAATACACCCTACTCGACAACATGGAATAGAGGCTTCAGATCAGAGTTGCGGACACGATGACGCCAACATTTTCTACTGCTTTGACAAACCTTACACCATCATCTATTTATTCCATCTCAACGAATTGCAAGTCGACTTGACAGAGACAGCGTGAGTTCAAAGCGGTGCCATCTTGGAGAGCCTTAATGGGCGATTGAGAAACAGAGCACCCACCTTGCGTTCCACTGTGGGAGACGGCGACCACTTTGCCGGGTGCGGTACTCTGGTTACCGCCGATAATGTGATCCATGCCTATTGATGGATGCTCCCAGCAAGATTCTGAAGGGAAAGGCCGTAGGGGAAGAGATTTTTTGGGCGATTAGAGAGGTGATGGACCGATTAAGCTTTGGAATTGTGTGTTTGTGACTTTTTGTTGGGTTGGGGGCTGAGATTAGTCATAGTTCCCAACAAACTGGCGCTCTTTACTATTTCAAATACGCTGGAGGAAGGGACAAACAAGCTAATCCTTATGTGGCAGTGATTCGCACACGACATGGACACAAATTTGTTCGTCCAGATTTATATTCTCACTTGATGGATACAAAAAGGAGAAGGCTGATTCTGAGTTCCTATATATGTTCCTTGAAAATGATTGATATGGTTATCCCATTGATGAACAACAGGTTTCTAGAATTGGGCCTACTGGATTGCAGGGAGGGAGTTGGGTCGCTGTGTTGGACACAAGGAACAATTGGATATTTGGATGGAATGCTAGAAGTAGCAATTTAACTTTTCGTTGTGGACTTAAAACTGGATGTCTCAAAGGTACAATTTGAAGAAAAAGGGTACGGTAATTTGTATAATGAATAGTTAAATGATTGATTAAAGCATAACTAGTGATAAAAATTGTTTGGGTACTGAAACGTACACAACCAATAATTATTGGCTATAATTGTAAGTTTAATTATCATTAATAGTTAATTTAATTAAAAATAAATTTTTAGGTGTGAAAACAGGCGTATATAGGGATGGTAATGGGTCGGATCGGGGACGGATAGTGCATATCCATTACCACGGGCGGACCCACGGGTGTTTGGGGGTGTCCCGGGACACCCCTAAATTTTGGGAAAATGATTATACAACCCCCAGTGGTAATTTACGTATTGACAAAACAATTGTAATTGATAGTCGGGACACCCCTGAAATTTAAAATAGTGATTATCCTACTCTCATCTTTTAGTTTGAGTATGAGAATATAAGTGATAGTTTGGGTAATTCAAACCTAGACACTTTTACTATTAATAAACATAATTTCCATTAGGCTACAACTCATATGTTATTCGATTTTAAACACTGTGTAATAGTAAAGTCTCATTCTCTATCTCTAATTATTTTCAAAAATCTAACAATTAAACAAATTTCAAGCTACCCTTAATTTTTATTGATTTTATTGTTGTACGACAAGTGTTGAAAGAGTCTTTTCACCTTTGGATTACATCAAGAACAAGTTTAGAAATAGAATATGTGATCAATTCGTGAATGATTGTCTAATATGATATACAGAGACAATTTTTTGAATAGTGTAGACCCCAAGTGTGTTCTACAATCATTTTCGAATATGAAAACACATCTTGAATTTTTTCAGGTTGTACGAGTAAGGTATTTCTTATTTAAATATTTTTTATTAATTATTTTAGAATTATTTGTATGTAATTTATTTTCTAAAAGAGGACACCCCTATGTAAAATTTCTGGGTCTGCCACTGTCCGTTACCCTACCCAAAGTAGTTCGTGTTTTATCCATACCCATACCCACATAAGAAACGGGTAGAAAATCAAAACCATGCCGATACTCGTTCGGGTTTCGGGTATCCACAGTTATCCATGGGTAATAGTTTCTCATTTTCACTCTAACCAATATGTTAATATTCACATGTATTCTCACATTATGTAAGACAAAAAGTAGGATAATTCACTAGAATTAAGAAAATGCATTAAAACAACACAATTTCATGAACATATTATATTTATATGCTAAATATAAAATATTTCATAGAACAATAATGATTATTTCTAGACAAAATACATATGCATGTGTATATCTGGTGGGTTCGGGTTGGATAGTGAGAAAACCACACATTACCCACAATATTCGGGTTCGGGTTTTACCAGTACCCGCAAAATTCCTTCGCGTTCGGGTTTACCCTACCCGGCAAGGTTAGATTCGGACGGATATCCAAGGTCATAGATATCTTTGCCATCCCTAGGTGTATAGCGTACGCCACGTGTATGCTAGCCGTTGTCAAATATATATATACCAAGGTTTCACTCATTAAATGTTAGGGTGGTATAGTATCAGCAGTGGCGGATACATGGGCCTTTAGGGGTGTCCCGGGACATATAGGTGTCAATCGGGCGGGTTCGGGCTGGGTTCAATCGGGTTGCGGGTTAGTTGGGTTTTGGGTTCGGGTTCAAACGGGTTGCGGGTTCATCGGGTTAGGGTTCAATTGGGTTGCGGGCAAATCGGGTTCGGGTCCATCGGGTTTTGGGTCGGGCAGGTTGCGGGGGGGTCGGGTTACGAGTTGTTCGGATCAGCGCATCGAGTAACTTACTCCTTACTCGTTACCAACTTACACATTTTATTACACTAATTTAAAATATTTTTCTCAATTTTTAACCAATTTCTTTCTACCTCGTATATATACTTAATTAAAAAAATAGTCAAAATGTTGAATCAATTTGTATGACTTGCAAATTGTTATGTAATTAATCGTAATTGGTAAAGTACACTAGCTAATAGTAATGGTGATATCAACATTTGCAACCAAAAGACACCATTAATTGTTTATTTGGTATTTTAGTATTATTTCAGTAGTAATTGGATTAAAGTATCTTGTTTAGTATAACCATGCAAATCGGGTATTTGGCGTGTGGTATTTGGCAAAAGCAGAGTTGTAGAATGAGTTATTTCGAAATAACTCATTGCCCAAATAACTTCAGTAAACTGTTGCCTAATGAGTTATTTGTAAAATTATTCGAATTACCCTAAAAATTGAACCATTAAAGATTAACTATCAAATTTAGTAAAATTCTTGTGACTTCAATAATAACTTACTCAATAACATATATCCTATACACTTAACATTACCCTTAATCGACAATATTAAGTTAGTATATGTTAATGATCGTATACCCTAAACCATCAATACATTATACACTAACCACATACCCTATGGCCTATACCGTAAACATATATCTTTATGAGTTGTGATTTTGCTAGTATAGTTAATTTAAAAGTGAAATTCATACTTTGATTTTCAAAAAATAGATAAAAAAGTGATATTTGCTATACCCTAACCATATATCCTATACTCTACACCATATACCTTGTACCGTAACCACGTACCATAAACATAAATTAAAAAGGAATCTCCTGCCGTTAAAGACTTCAAATGACTTCAGGTAAACATATGTTAATAAAAACTTAGAACCGTCAAAACCATCAATACCTTATACCCTAACCCAATGTAGTCAAAATCCCGATTTTAATCTTAAAATCTTACGATTTTACGATCTTACCTATGGGTTCCGATCATGATTTTATTGTAAAATCTGTTAACCTTTTTTTATGGTTAAATCAACATTGCATTAAGAACCGACACCAATAGCAAAAGCGCTATGGAGCCCTCGGAATACTAACAATCCTGTACATCATAACCCTCACAGAGATACTCAATAACTGAAAAACAAACAAGCCTAACTTGCTAATCGTCTACCCCAAGTCCCCTCACTTCAAAGCAATCAACTAGTGATAACGATGTAATTGCACGTATTTGCGCCCCTAGTTCTTATCCGTTTGAGGGGCATAGTCGTGTACTTTTGCCCTATTTTACGCCGGGTTGTGCTATTTTGTCATATTTCAGGTCCCAGGCGTCAAAGGGAAGGCTAAGCACGAGTTTCGGGGCATTCAGAGGTCATTTCGTCAAGTTGGAGCCAAAACACGGGCAGACCTAAAGCATTACACGGCCGTGTTCTGGTGGCCGTGCTTTTTATGTCGAGAGCTAATTGATTTGGCAAATTCAGTTGCAAACACGAGCTGAAAGCACGGCCGTGTCCATCCAAAGCACGGACGTGCCCACCGCGAAACACGGCCGTGTTTCTCCCAACTGCTGGCCGTGTAATTAACCCTGGCCGAGGCACGGGCGGGCTGAGGCAAAGCACGGCCGTGCCCTCGACCGTGCTTTGGCCACTGATGCTTTTAAGCATATTTTCAGCCACAAGTCAAGGGGATTCGAGTTTTTTGAGAGAGAGAACGATTCCTAGAGAGAGAAAGCGACGAACAAGAGTCTCCAAGTGCCCTAGCTTGATCTTCAACACCATTGGAGGCCAGTTTGAGCTTGGAGAAGTGCCAATCAACGTCCAGGAGCAGGAATCCATCCTTCACAATATGAATTCCGCGTCTGATTCTGCTTTTGCTTCTTTCTCTATGGAGTAGTTCTCCCATTCATCTGGGTATGGAGAACCCTAGATTTGTATGTTAGGCTTTGATTGTATGAACCCAAGTACTGATTCTATGATTTGATTATATTCGATTGAGGTTTGAATGATTGAATGACTTGAATCCTGATCAAATTCCTGTTGTTTCTGCTTTGACCTAGAATGAGAATATCTTCCTAGGTTGATAGAGCATCCTTGATTGAAGGTAGGGAGTTGGTGACTTTAGTCGAGGAGCCAACTCACTATTCTGTACCGGTTTACTCCGGTAGTGGAGGTTTTGTTCTTAGGGCCTCAATCTGTTTACTCCGGTGGAGGTTAGTCGCCCGCTAGAGACTCAGATTGAGAGGGTCTGGAGACCTTTAGTCGAGACTTCAGGCTGTTTAAGAACCTTCCGCAGTATAACTATAATAGAAACTGAACTTGGTAATTACAATCCGGCTTAACTGCAGTCTAGGGGGAACCATATCCGGGTGACCTCTCTTAACCTGAATACAACAGTTTACTTGCTTTGTTAGTTTGATAGTTTAGACTTGCATTCCAGTTTCATTGCTAGATAACAAGAATTCACTGAGTAGTCATCAGATCTAGGACCCGGGTTGATAATTAAACCCAAACCCGCTATACTACGCTTTAGGAAGTGGTTACACTTGGCCAATTCCTAGGGTGACAGTAGAAGTGAGTCAAGTTTTTGGCGCCGTTGCCGGGGACGGCTAGGTTGTTGAAGAAAAGTGATTTCTGTTAATTTAGCTTTTCTTTTTGCTTTGTTTTCTTTGTCCCACTTGTGCCTTCTTGAGTGTGTGCAGGTAGTGCATGACCCGTAGCCAGTCAGGAGGTTTACTGCCGTTGAATCCAGAGATAGACCGCACCTGTCGCCAACTCAGGAGACAACGGCGAGCTAGACTGGCTACGGAAGAGCGCCTAGACGGCCACTTGAGTAGCGATTCTGAAGAAGAGTACGGGATGGACGGAGACTACAATCAGCACCAGGGGAATCCTCAGCAGGCTCCCCCGGTGAATCAGGTCCTGGGGAACAACCCCATACCCCAGGATCATGGAGTTTATCATCCACCGCAGCCGGGTCCCACCTTGGAGTACTACTACACTCCTCGGATTGCTGACATCCGCCCGGTCATCCTCTACCCGCCTATTCCAGCAAATAACTTCGAGATCAAGCTATGCTGGATTCAGCTCATCACATCCTCTATCCAGTTTCATGGCTTGAAGGATGAGGAGGCCAGGGTGCATCTTTCCCGTTTTCTGCAGCTGACAAACGGGTTCAAGCTGAATGGTGTCCCGGATGATGCAATCCGCCTTCATCTCTTCCCCCATTCTCTGGCGGGGAATGCTAAGAGGTGGTTGGAGACCCATCCTCCATTTTCCATCACCTCTTGGGATGATCTGGCGGACAAGTTCGTGCAAAGGTACTATCCGGCATCGAAGACTACAGAGATTCAGCGGGAGATCACTCACTTCCGCCAAGAGCCAGATGAGTCACTTCGTGATGCTTGGGAGCGGTACATGGGATACTTCTGGCAGTGTCCCCATCATGGCTTTAGTGATGCTTTCACAGTGGGGAACTTCTACAGTGCTCTCTCCCCAGATAGCCAGAGGGTGATTGAGTCTTTATGCCCAGGAGGGGATATTCTTACTAAGACTCCACCCGAGGTGAACCAGATGATTAATACTTTGGCTGCCAGAGATCATTCTTGGGGACAGGGTAGCCGAGGCAGACAGTCCCGGGACCGTGGTGTGCACGCCATGGAGACTAGATCCGGGCTCGAGCAGCAGGTAGCTGAGCTAGTGCAGACATTGAAGCAGCCCAACAGTCTTATTCCGGGCAGAGGTTTGGCTACACCTCCAGTAGCTCAATGTCAGTGGTGTGAGAGCTCCAATCACCTAGTGGAGGACGGCCAGGCTATGAGGGAGTCTACCACACCCCAGGAGCAGTTGGCCTTCATCGCCAATGCGCGGCGCCTCGATCCATACAGTAACACATATAATGAGGGGTGGCGCCAGCATTCCAACTTCGCCTAGAGCAGCAACACCACTAAACCACCTGGTTTCCCAGCACCAGCAGGTGGTTTTCAGCAGAGGCAGCCCTTTCAGGCTCGCCAGGGGCCAGACCCACAGCAGCAGCCCTACCAGCCTAGGCAGGGGCAGCCATTCCAGCAGCCCCAGTGCCAGTTTGCCGAGCCAGCAGCAGCTCCGGCCCCAGATGACAGGATGACGAAGCTGGAAAACATTCTAGCTTCATTCATGACTAGCACTCAGGCTGCTATCACATCACTGGAGGCAGGTCAGCGGAACCAGGGTGCCATTTTGCAGGATCTGCAGACCCAGGTGGGCATCTTGGCCCGCCAAAACACCACTAGGGCACCGGGGACTCTGCCTGCCACCACTGTTCCGAATCCTCGAGATCCTCACCAGCATCAGCAGCTGGATGCCATTTTTACCAGGAGCGGTAAGACCATATCTGCTGATCATGTCCCGGCCAGACAGGAGGAACCACTACCTACTTCAGCACTTCCAGCCGACGATGCAGAAGTGCGGGTGGAGAAGGAAGCCCCTACTCCCAAGCCACAACCAGTGGTTAAGGAGCTGCCCCAGCTTCCCTTCCCCACTCGCCTACACAAAGACAAGCTGGAGACTGAGTTTGCCAAGTTTATGGCAATGTTGAAGCAGCTCAACATCAGCATACCGTTCGTGGAGGCACTGTCGAAGATGCCCAAGTATGCCAAGTTCATGAAAGACCTCCTCACCAACAAGAAGAAACTTGGGGATCTCTCGACAGTGTTGCTGAGCGATGAGTGTTCTGCTATCCTGCAGAACAAGCTGCCCGAGAAGCGAAAAGACCCAGGGAGTTTTACTATCCCTCTTACTATTGGCAGCATGCATGTAGGCAAGTCCTTGGCGGACCTAGGTGCTAGCATAAACGTCATGCCATATAAGTTGTTTAAGAAGATAGACTTAGGTGAACTTAGCCCTACTAGGATGAGCATTCAGCTCGCTGACTGTTCCATTGTGCATCCTAGGGGTGTCATAGAGGATCTGCTTGTTAATGTTGGTGCATTCACATATCCTGTTGATTTTGTTATTCTGGATGTAAATGAGGATGTGGATGTGCCTTTGATTCTAGGTAGACCATTTCTTGCCACCGCCAAGGCACTTATTGATGTGCATGATGGTAAACTGATCCTGCGTGCTGGGAATGAACAGGCTACTTTTTCTGTGACTGAATTTGATCACTGTGCTATGATTGGTGTCACGCCTGTGCATACCATTTCTGACCAGGTACACGAGCCTGTCGTGTATCCTTCTGCACCTCTTATTTTGCAGGACCCTCCTGCCATTCCTTCGCCACCACTCCATCCAGCCTCGCCTCCGAACAAAAAGCTCAATGAGGAGTGGCGGCCGAAGCAGCAGGTTGCAAAGCCTGCGCGGAAGAAGGGTGGAGACCACTATGAGCTGGTCCCACCTCCTGCACCACGACCACCCTGACCGTCTGGGTACTCACTCGCCTGCATCTTACCGGATGGCCAGGTCGAGCTGACTGATGATGGTGGTCGCATCCGTCGGGTGCAT